AATACGAGTTGGACGACGATTTATATCTACAACGTACCTCATTGGCTGGCGAGAGGGTCACCCCCTGGTCGGACGCAATAGGCGAGGTCGTTGCGGGCAAGGGTGTAGAGGCGGGCGCCTTGGTCGTATATATATATATATATATATATACAGATGTTCGGAGCAAGTCGTCAGGCAGCCGCACCGGGGAGGGGGGTTCGAAGTAGAACAAAGGCGGCACACGAGGGGGAGGGGTAGGATGAGAGCAAGCGAGTGCGAGGGCAGGGAGGGATATACATATGTGGGAGAGTTGACCGTATGTTGTATGTTGTGCGAGGATAAGTAGAAACACCGGGAATAAATACAACACTATGACTATGCGTGGACGTCCCATCCACGGATAGAGAGACTATTCATCAACCCCTGGTGTTTGTGGACACAATACAAGACAAAAACAAAGGGAAAGAACAATCACGGGATGATCGCCCCACACGACAATACCGCAAGAGTCGGAGAGTTAGCACAGGCCGGAGAGATGGCACCGGGGTGCAAGAAAAACACCCGAGCAAAAAAACATGAAATTCGATTTACGCACCGTGGGTCGGCGAGATCGCACCCGGTGCGATCTCTCCGACCCTCAAATCCAAGATGGAACTCCGTTTCAGCTGCCGGGATGAGGTAAATGTGCGTACCTTTTACACGTGGGGACGGAGTCAGCGGAGCGCCGCTCCTTTACGTACGATTGGATGGTCGCGGTTCACGCGGGGTGCCAGTTGTTTCTATATTGTTATTGGTGTGGAAGTTGCCAACCGAACACGCAACCAAACACACAACGTACAAGCCGCACCCTACCCCACCTTACACAACCCGAAGCTATTGTGCTTCTGCGTGCGTGCTGGTATCCGTGGAGGAATACCGAAACGAAAAGCGGGAAACAATTGATACCGTGCCGTGTACTGGTACCACCTCAGATGGAAAAGACATCGTTTGTTTGTCGTCACGTCATAGCCAAACTCGCATCAAACACAGGACCACTCGCTGCATGGAGAGCTGTCACGTTACCGGTGTGCTTCCAACCAACAACAACGGCCTTTCTTCCGGATCAGACATGCGTGTGTGTGCACAAGACCGTGAGCGCGCGTGGGTGCCTACACTGGTAGCAATCAATTGTTGTTGTTGTTGTTGTCTTCACATTAAAAACCATCCCGGTCTCTCTATCCAGTACCTCCTTCTGTCTCAATCTCTCCGTACTAATCCATCACTTGACTCGGCCAATTTCCGTGGTCACAGGCTAACGTACCTAGAAAAGGTATACCAAAATAAAATGGACCCCAAGGGTCAGCAGAGCGATAAAATACAAGCAATACTATATGGCAATGGTCGGGGAGATGGCACCGAGGTGCGTGCGTACAACACCTGTGTGCTTTTCATTGGGAATAGCACCGGGGTCGGAGAGATCGCACCGTGGTGCCTTGAAAATCTAAACGAAACTACTTAATCGCATGTCCGCACCGGGGTCGGAGAGATGGCACCGTGGTGCGATATAAAATCCGAGGAAAAAACATAGAAAAAAAAAATGATCGCACCCGGTGCCAACTCTCCGACTCTTACGGTAATCCCTCGGGGTATTTTCACCTACAATCCGTGCCAAGATCAGGGGTGGTTGCATGGAACGAGTTCCCGGGGGTCTTTTGCGAACCTTTCGGACGCACGCAGTTTCATGTATTCGTCCTTCATCGCGCGTGCTTGGTGGTCTCGGCCCTAAAATCTACAGCAACACACAAAACGATCTCTTTTCACGCGTGTGTCAAGAGTGCCAGTTGTTTTGGCCCTCCGCGAGTCTTGCTGGTGTGATGTGCCGCTCAAGCAAGTCTTGCCGTGGGAGAGTTCGACACGCCACTGTACTACTCGGGGTAATTCATATAACACACACAGATTATCGCTACTACAAGCTTGCGAGGAATTGCGTGATCGCTGTTTGTTGGACGTCGTTGATCGCCCTCTAGCGAGGCTGCTGCTTGACTGCTTTCCTACATGGGTCATTCTCCGAAGATACGCATACAGAACGGGCCCGGAGATAAGAAACGTCAAAATCGGGTCGAGCCTCAACATCTTGTTTTGGGCAGAAGGACCAGCCGAAGTCGGCCCAATTACTTGAAACGGATTTCTTATTCCTTTGGGCTGTCGCATAATCCTGCTCATCTCTTTTCCCCTTGTTTTCTTAGTTCTGGGGAAGAAAACAACACACAACCCCAGTTTCAGCAGCAGCGGCTGGTGGGTTTTTATAGCGCAGCCCGCGGCGGCGCGGGGGCCGCCGCGAAATATACCCCCCCCACCGCCCCCCCTTTGGTGTTTGCCATCGGGGTTGGGTTTTCGTCGCTTGGCAACGACGTTGTAAAACAAGCCAATTCACTTCGTGAACTCGGCAACCAGGTTACCGTTTTTTTTTTTTTCCTCCGGTTTTTTTTTTGGCGGTAACCATAATGGTGGTCGAGTAGATCATGTTGTGCGGGGT